CTAACCCCTTCATAAAGAAACCCTATGTGTTAACCTACTACATGATGAGAAGCTGATTTATTTGCCTCTCCCACTTCTCTATCCTTTGGCTAAAGAACAAAGCCCACCCTTCTTGACACCCACTTTCAGTTTCACATATTTGTTTTGCAACACTGAACAGAAAAGATTCCTGTTTGTGGGTAAAGCTGACTGAGTCGGTAACAACAATATATTTTAGCTCAGTGATTGGCTTTCTGTGCAGCAAGCAATGAGACCTACAACAAACTCCAGGCATTTTGGTAACAGGCACATACCCCAAAGAATTGAAAGCAAGATCTTGAAGAGGTATATGTACACCCATGTTTATAGCAGCATTATTTACAAGGGAGGAATGAATAAGCAAAAGTTGGTACATACACATACAATGAAATTTTATTCAGCCTTAAAAAAAGAGAGAGTTCTGAGATAAGAGTTTGACAATACTAGTTTCTCAAACAAATAATTAAAAACAGTATCCCAAGACCCAGGGGTCTGGGACCACTGAAACATCAGAATATGGTTAGGAACCAGCAAAAACTGGTTCAAATCAAGACAGTGTCAAAAGTGACCTCTACTTGCCCTTTTTGCTCACTATATTCTAATTATAATGCATTAGTGTGCAAAATGTCACTCCTACCTGCACCATGACAGTCTACAATGTCTATGGCAATTCCCAGAAGTTACCCTATATGGCTCAAAAAGGGGAGGAACCTTAGTTCCAGGAACTTTCTCAGAAAATCCATGAATATCCCATCCCTTGCTTAGCATATAATTGAGAAATACCTATAAATAAGGCAGCCAGCAGCCCAGGAAGGCTACTCTGCCTAGAGTAGCCTTGTCTTTAGTTCTTTTGTTACTCAAATACAGTTGCCTTCACTTTATTTTGTTCTTTAAGTATTTCCTGGAGAAAACCAAGAAACCACTTCACTCCTCAGGATCACGCCAATGTAGCACTGCAATGTTCTACAACGCAGAGGGACCTTTTAACATTATGCTAAGTGAAATAAGCCAGTCTCCAAAAGACAAATACTGTATGATTCCACTTACGTGAGTTACCTAGAGTAGTCAAATCTCCCAGACAGAAAGTAGAATGGTGGTTGCCAGGGACAGCAGGGAGGAAGAAGTAGGAAGTTATTGTTTAATGGGTACAGAGTTTCAGTTTTACAAGATGTAAAGAGTTCTGGAAATGGTTGCACAACACTATGAATGTATTTAGTACCACTGAATTGTACACTTAAAAATGGTTAGGATGGTAACTTTTCTGTTATGTGTAGTTTAGTAAAATTCAAAAAAGAAACAGGAGAAAAAATGCAGGGTGAAATTGCTTAAATAAAAACAAACAGAGTATGTTAAGAACCACAAATCCAGAGGAAATGCTGAGTCAGAAGCTGTTGCTTTTGATGTCTGCACTGACTTGTCCCTCCCCCTCTTCCCTCCCCCTCACCCATTGTGAATTGGGCTGAGTTTGGGGATATAGGGCTGGCAGACTGTGAATCCTCAAAGTTGAGGCCATGGAGAGTTGATATCCTTGGTTAAAAGGGTTCAGGCTAAAGAAAAAAATATTGCTGTCCTGAAAAAATAGTTCCAGGAGCCCAAAGTCATGGTGACAAGGAAGTTATGAACAAGAGGAAGGAGGATTGCTATGATGATGGCAGATTCCATCTTTCAATGAATTAATAGGATGTCAGAGAAGGCAGGGCACAGATGAAAAGGAGTATTAGAGAGAAGGAGGATATTGGGGTGGGGAGGTTAGTCAAAAGATAGGGAACTCTGTAGCCTGTAGATGAGTCAAAGGATGAGTTAGTCTAGGGATTAAGGAGGGGGTGTATCAGAATGTGGTTGTATCAGAAAAAAAATACAAAAGGAAAGCTTTATTCACCCCTAAAGAAATATCATCAGAAAATACAAGTTTAAGTTAGTTCACCCCATTAAGCAAGAAAGTGACTGGGGAGGCACTTCACAGCATTTATAAATACAGTACAAGGACATCTAGTTATGTCCAGTCTACTACTTACCTGCATGGATGTGCTGTAAGGTAAATTTGCGTTTGTAAGAACAATGGTACAAACCTCATTCCTAGCCTGTCAGTGTTAGAGACAAAACAACCCAAGCTTAGCAACTCTGGAAACAATGAGGATAGAAGTGAGCTCACACATTCCACTGCACCCTCCTGAAAACCACCATGGCCCCTAATCAGAATCCAGTGACGTGTCCTTAGACACTTGAATCTGAGCCCACTTATCAATTAATCCATACATTTCAGCAAAAATGTTGCTTTGCCATGTCTCAAGATAAGTGCCTCTAAAATAGAAAAAAAAGTTCTAGCATCTACCAGAGTTACACAGCAGGATCATATATGCCAAGTGTAGAAAAATACAGATCTCATATTGACATAGTGTAATCACGCTTGAAACTCTCTCCTCCATTACCTTCTATGATAAACGATACCAATTCTAGTCATTCACTTATTCACTTGTTTATGCAACTAGTATTTATTGTCCATATGTGCCAATCATTCATCAAGGTCCTAGGGACAAAACAAAAACTCCCCCGTCCTAATTTAACCTACATTCTGACTCATTATCCATCTCCTGTTCGTTCTGCTATTTCTTTTCTTTTTCTTTAATTAAATATATTTGCTATATGCCAGGACACATATTATGCATGTCTGACCTATTGGCTCATTTAAGCCTCTGAATGCCTTATAAGGGTGGCACTAACACCATCCTTGTTGAACGTCAGAGGACAGCAGCACAGAAACATGGCGCAGCTTGTGTGAAGCCTCTTTGCACAGTCTTGAGTCCCAGTCAGGGCTGCTTTCTTATTGTAAGCTGTTTCGCTTTTTTCTCTAATGTTACATCTTTAACGTTTTGTTCATCACTGTGTTGTTCTCTAAGAATCTATTCATTTTAATTACTTACTCAACCTTTAGACAGAAAGCCTCAAAATCCCTTGGACTCTGGCTGTCATCAAAGCTTCAGGCCAAGACATCGTCCTTGTAATAAAGACCCACAAATCTCACAGGAGCCACAGGACCTGAGTCATCTGCCCTGGCCTCTAGCTGCAACCTTATCTTCTGTCACAAGTCTGGCCCAACATGCTGGTGGCCTGGCCTTCTCCGTGTCATCTGAGTATATCCTGCTTCCTCCTGCTGGACTTGACTTTGTGCTCTCCATACCTTCTGGCTACAGGACCTTGAAGAGCCCCCCTTCCTGCCTACCAGCTCATGTTCACCCAGCAGGTGTTAGATTAGAGACACGCAGGGGTCTGTCCCCAATCCCACAGACTAGTTCAGAGTCCTCTTATATTCCTACAATGCTTGTGAGGGACCTTCTTACCAGCTATTAGTTTGTAATGATATGTTTTTGTGACCCTGTGTCTGCCTCTCCCAGTTGATCCTTGAGAAATGAGGCTGTATCCCTGTTCCTTAAACCCATGTGTCTTTAGTGCTCAGTGTAGCGTCTGAAATTCTGTGGGCACCAGCAAACATGAATGTTGCTGAGGAATGGATTAAATGATTTGCTAGAGGGCTGTCCCACCAGCACTAGAAACTCACCCACACTAAAATTATTTTGCTCAGATGACAAACACTTCCCCTGACTTGTCTACTTTCTAGATGACCGTAATGACCTTTCTGAACTCATCTTGATTCAGCCTTCTCTTGGGGAACCTGACATCCTCTTTGTCAATCCATCTTGCTCCTGTCTCAGCCTCCGGCATCCCACAGATATAGCATTGATATGCTGAGCTTGAAATACTCCTTCTTTGAGTAGGCTACAGTTTTGTCACCTTCCAGAAGTGCTTTACAACAATCATAAAACATGTATGTATTTATCCTATTACCCTCACTGAACTGGGCCAGGTCAGATATTCATTTAAATATTTAGAACTGTTTCTGGGCTATAGACCTACCACTCTTATACAAGTGAACCCAAAAGAAGCCAGAATTATCCCCACTATTTAAGTGTTCTAGGAACCCATTGGCATTAGTGTACCAGCTACCATTGTTGTGACAGGCTGTGTCAACTTCAATGAGTTTTTTTGTTTGTCTTTTTTTATTTTTTGAGATTCTTTCAACACATTTGTCCATTTCATGATGGGTAATTTGCATGAAAAACTTGCCTGCATCACACTGAGTATCCAGCAGTTTTTGACCAAAAACGACATTGATCCCTAGGCCTCAACCTACCTATTCGCCCACTCTTGCCCTGAGTGACTTTTTTTGTTTGTTTGGTTTCTCCATGAAAAAGTCCTCGAAGGGAAATGTTTCACCAGTGTGAAAGAGGTGAAACAAAAAATGGGAGAAACACTAAACAGCATCACAGCTGACAAGTTTAAAAACTGTTTTGCGCAAAGGAAAAAATGTCTCACTAAGGTGTATTGCATCAGACAGAGACTACTTTGAAAGTGACTGGAGTTTAAACATGTAAGAACAAATACACAATTTTTGCAAACTAATTCCATTTGGGAGGGATCCCCCCATGTACGCACCTACCCAGACATCACCACAAGTCTGGGGGTAACTCATTTCTTTATCATGAGTTAATTAGGGTAAAGAGAGAAAAAATAAGCTTTGGAAAAAAAGATTTAAAGACTGGTTTTTTTTTAAATAGTGACGATGCCACGGAAAGACCTGGAGTAGTTCAGCAACTGATGGAAGGAAGGAGCTCGAGGATTCTCCAAATCGTCTGACCCTGCAAACACGAGTTTGGAGGCTCCATGCAGGTGCTGTCAGAAGTGTTCAGCTTCCTAGGAGGCGATGGTCTCTAAACTCAACTTCATTCTCCTGGTTGAGCATTCCTGAGTGGCGACCTTTCACCAGTGGGGGTTTCTCTGCACTCCTGAACCTGGCCAGCGGGTCACACCCTCTTGTGCCTGCTCCTGGGGCTGTGGGGTGCCTCCCTTCCTGCCAGACAGCCAGGGAAGATAGCGCGGCAGCTTGGAGGCAGCGCCGCCACCGCGAGCCCTGGCCGCTGACGGCCATGGCCTCGGGGGCGCCCGGGGAGCGGCTGCGAGAGGAGGCGCGGTGTCCCGTGTGCCTGGACTTCCTGCAGGACCCTGTGAGCGTGGACTGCGGCCACAGCTTCTGCCGGCGCTGCATCTCCGAGTTCTGCGAGAAGTGCGAGCGTACTCAGGGTGGCACCTACGCCTGTCCCCAGTGTCGGGGCCCCTTCCGGCCCGCGGGCTTCAGGCCCAACCGGCAGCTGGCCAGCCTGGTGGAGAGCGTGCGGCTGCTGGGGTTGGGCTCGGGTCCCGCGGGGGCGCGCCGTTGCGCGCGGCACGGCGAGGACCTGAACCGCTTCTGCGAGGAGGACCAGGTGGCGCTGTGCTGGGTGTGCGACACCACCCCGGAGCACCGGGGCCACAGTACGGCGCCGCTGCAGGAAGCCGCCAGGGGCTACCAGGTGAGACCCCGCGCGTTCTCCTCCAGGCGCACCTGCAGAGGCCCCGTTGGGACCTGGGAGGGCCGCTCCACAGAGGGGCAGGCTGATCAGAGATGCCAAGGGCTTGCCAGACACAAAGCCAAGTGGTGTCACCCTGTCTCCGCACCTCTTCCCATCTTCCTTACATTCTACACTCAATTTAGGTTCTCCTTGCCGTTGCTCTGGTAACTTGTCTTGGGATTCAAACACACTCCTTATTTTAGACTGTCCACATCTCCTCCCAGAATCCTTCCCTGGTCCTTTAATTCGTGCTGGTCGTATTTATTTTTCCTGATGCTGATAGTCTGGGTACCACAGCTGGACACTGGTCAGGAGGGTTGTGTGGGCCTCTTGATGCTTTGTGACAATTGTGGGTCTTTGTTGTAATCTCTTCCTAATAATTCTCATTTGTACAATGCTTTGCTTTTGCGTAGTATTCAGCTCTTCGTGAATTAATGTCACTGAAACAGCCCTCAGGTTTGGGCATTTGCTGAGAATAGCGTGTAGTTGGGCAAACCTTCCTTTAAGTCTTAGTGATGGCTTTAAACTAATGCAGTCTGTGTCCCCTCAAGTAGGAATCTAGTTTCAAAGCACTCAACAGATATCTGGGGACTTAGGATTAGAACATCCTCAATGAAGTATCAGTGTTCTTGGCCTCCAAAAGTGGCATCTGTGAAACTCTATGTGTAGAATTGTTCCTACTTGTGCTCTTCAACATTCTTGGACATATTCTGAGCTCACCTAAATTCCCAACATCTAGAACAGCACAAAGGAAGTGAAAGACATCTTTAATCTACTGACATATTTAACCAAAGGACTATGATGCTGTAAAAGTTTCAAATGCTAGCTTTCTTAACATTTGCACTTGGCTTGTTTGTTTTAAGTTAAAGTTTGAGGTATTTTCCCCTCAACTTCCTCTGGATCTGCCTAGAAATACCTCTCTTGGTTTTTCTGCTTGATTTAGGTTGCCTTCCACAAAATTCAGGTACTAGGTTCTTTCTAGCTAGACTTGTACAGTGTATTCTTACTGCTCCTCCTTTTAAAAATATATCCAGAGAATACCACATAGAGGATTGTTAGTGTAGTATTTGTAAAGGCATTATCTATGTTTTCAGAAGTTCTTCCATTCAATACCAAATATATATAGTCTAAACACCTGAGCCTGTCAGTTAGGGCTTTCCAGGGTCCTAAGTTATGTTTCCACAACTCGTCTTAACCAGCCATGAGATCCAGTATATTTAGCCTTATCACTGCTGTTCCACATGTACCATTTTTTTTTAACTTCCTTGCTGTTTGCTCACAGTTTCTTTGGTCTGAGGGAGCTGTTCTCCACCTACAAGTATCACAGTGCTCTGTTCTTTGTAAACACCAAACAAACGCCACTTTCCCCACCTAATCAAATGCCATCGTGAATTCTGTTATTTTATGTTCAGCATTATAGCATTCTCCTTTTAAAAGCAATTGATGTGTATTCAGGACTTGAATAACTTTGGGAATATAATTTGTTTTTCCCTTTAAAGGCTTCCTTATCTATGAATCTGTGTAAGTAGTCTCTGTAAATGAAATACACATATTTCTTTCTAGCAAGGGTCCTATTGTTAAGAGAAGATTTAGTTCTCAGTGTATTAAATTTTTGCTCATGGTAAGACGTACAACATACTGTTTTTTTTTTTTTTTTTGAGTTGGAGTCTCACTCTGTCCCCCAGACTGGAGTGCAGTGGCCACTTCCGGCCACCCCAGCCTCGACCTGCTGGGCTCCGGCGATCCTTCTGCCTCAGCCTTCCAAGTAGCCGGAATTACAGGCATGCACTACCATGCCCAGCTGATTTTTTGATTTATTATAGAGATGAGGTCTCGCTGCCCAGGCGGGTCTCGAAACCGCGGGCTCAGGCAATCCACTCACCTCAGCCTCCCAAAGGCGCGGGATTACAGGCTGAGCCACCGAGCCCGGCTTGTATTTTTTTTTAATACATTAACCTACCAGGTTTATGGCTTAATGATGCTACTGACTACTAATAATAAAACTTTGCCTTATTATAAAGTAATAAATAACTTTTAGAAGTTGAAATATAGAGAGATATAAGAAACAGCATCGCTCTTCAACCCAACACCAATAGATGACATGTCATCTAATAACATTTTTATTTATTTCGACTTGATTTTTGTAATTCATCACAAGCACAGTGTTTTCTAAATGGTGCTAAGTTTTATAGAATATACATATTAATTGGACATTATCATTGTATTTATTGTCATTACATATACTGCAACATGTTATTTCAATTCAATTTGTTAATATAAAATATTTTTCTCACTCCCCCCCCTTTTAACATTTTGGAAAATTACAGTTATGCTATTGTCGATAACGATGCAATGAGCATACTTTTAATTTTTTGATTGTATCTGGTATTAAAGTACACCTATGTTTAGTTATTCATCACGTCGAAGGCTTTTATATGCATTAAAGGAACTGTTTATTTGATCTTTGTGCTTCTTCACACATCTGGGTGACATCAGGTACTGAGTAATGGCATCTGTAACCGTTCCCACACATCTTCCATAACAGGTGAAGCTCCAGACAGCTCTGGACCTTGTGAGGAAAGAGATGGAGGAGGCCTTGAGTCAGGAGGTCAACGTGGGGAAGAAGATTATCATTTGGAAGGTGAAAGGATATTGGGGCATTGAGAGCCTTGCCCTTCTGAAGGATCCAGATTTGGGTCCATGAGTCATTCTTCTACCATATTCCACTCCCCAACACTTTTCCTCTGTCTACGTAGTTGCCCAAGCAAGGCATCTCAGTGCCATCCTAGGTCACCCCATATCTTCAAATCATCTGACTCTTTTTTGTTATTTTTACCTCTATTGATAATACCCAGTTCAAATTATAGATAAATAGCTTTTCTATCTGGATCTTACTATAAAATCTCTGACTATATCCCTGTCACTTAAACCGAGTCTCATACTATTGCTTCTAGCTTAACAAGTATCTGTTAGATATTATTTCTAACAGAAATTATATATGAATATTTATATATTATATATGAATATTTCATCTAAAACAAATATTTCACAATTTCATAACAGATGAATCACAGCTAGTAGTAATCATCTTATGTACAGATAGAGAATCCAAACTTCCAACCTCTTTTCTGTCATCCAGACATGTTATTCTTTTTATTCTCTGACATATTTCATTTACACACACACACACACACACACACACACACACACACACACAGTGATTCTCGACATGGGATGATTTTTATCACCTCTCCAAGAGACATTTTGCAATATCTGGAGATATTTGGGGTTGTCACAATGAGGGAGCATGGATGCGGTACTGCTGCCATTGGTAGAGCCAGGAATGCCGTGTAACACCCTGCAATCCACAGCACAGTCCCTATCCCTCACAAGAAACAATCATCTGGTCAGGCTGTCAATAGTGTCAAGACTGAGAAACTACATATAGAAACTGTGTATAGTTAGACACACTTATAGAATGTATTATATAATGTGATCTATGGGATATATTTTATAGACTATCTCTGGTTTTTTCTCCTTCTACAAATAAATCTTTTTTTCTGATCATTCTTTTTCTGCTTCTTTCTTTTTTGTTTTCCTTGAAGATTTAGTCTTATTCTCTATCTTCAGACAAATGTCTCCACAAGGACTATTTTTGCTACATTTTTCTTCTGGGTAAGTCTTATCCCGTCCTGTCACTATGCAAATTATAGGAAAAGTTAACTAATTGATTAATATTTTTTGTTATTTTCAGGCAAGTAATCTAAGTCAGTTTTTCTCATCCTGGTCTGACCATAGATTTCTGCAATTGGAATCCCTGTATCCAAGATCTGGGTTCCTACATTTTTGAGCCTTCTACTGATTACTGTTAAGTAAATATGATATGGAGATCCCCATTCAAAGTCAAGCAAAGTTGTATGATCTTTGCCATCAAGAATATTTCCTTGTGAGACAAATGCAGGAAGCACAGGTTTGGTAAAAATGAATGATAAATTCTAGCAAAAACTCCTTCTTTTTACTGTATCTGCAGATATAGTTGTAGTGCTCAAGAGAGTGATGTGAAACACGAATTGCAAGTAGAGCACTGCCTGCCACACCTTCCCTCCTGCCCCAAATATAACTCCACTCTTTTCCAGTGGCGAAGTTAATTGTCTACACCTCAACAGCTCACATTCACAAGACTTATGCCTTTCAGAAATCAGAATACGAAACTCAGAATAGGCTGATTTTTAGAAAGAAGCCAAGATTGTATGAATCTAGTGATTTAGAAAATAGTAGAAGAAAATACACATTAAAAATTGAAGCAAAGAGTTGAGTCTTATAAGTTAATCAGGTTAATAAAAGATGATTATTTACACCTTCCAGTCAAACTAAGAAATTATAATGTTTAAAAACAAGGCAGGGAATCCCAGGTGTGGATACTTTGGGAAGATAATTTCTCTCTCATACTCAGTTTAGTTTCCTACGCACTTATTTCAAGAGAATAATATTTAGATATAGTAAACCTGTGGCAAAGTATGTTCCTTAACTCTATTCAAAAATTGTAGATGTGAGATTTGGGTAGAAATCAGGATGAACTCCCTGAAGTTAACTGTGAAATAAGTTGCCCAAAGTTCACTTCGTTCTTTCTTGACTTTATAGCAAACATTAGGGTCACGGCTGGGTTCGTGATTATCGTATTATGAAAGAACATTTATATTTTCTCATCTGAAAGGCTTTTCTAAGTTCACATTTACAAATGTAGATCTCTCTAATCTTACTTCATCATTCAGTTTTCCCTAGTGCTTCCCGTGACTAATAGAAAATAGTAACTTCTGTGCAAGTACTCTCTAATAGTCACTGTTTCAACAGTTTAATAGATATTTAAATCTAATCCACATATACCTCTTTCCCCCACATTTTAAATGCAGTACTGAGACTTTAATAGAAAATTGCCTTGGCCTCAAGCCTATGGCAGAATGGGAACCCGAACTGAACAGTCTTTCTCAAACTCTGAGTTTGAAAACTCTACTGTGCCACTCATACTAGTGGACTCTGGTTTCTGCATGTTGTTTAGATGTGACCAGTCAGTCCACAGAATTGTGGAGCCAGGAGCCTCCAAACTTTGCCTTCCCAGTCCCTCATGTGAAGGCAGGAGACCCAGCCCCTGTGCTCTAAGCAATTATGATGTGATCTGCTATGTCCTTCCAGGAGAAAGTGGAAATGCAGAGGCAGCGCTTCAGGCTGGAGTTCGAGAAACATCGTGGCTTCCTGGCCCAGGAGGAACAGCTGCAGCTGAGGAGGCTGGAGCAGGAGGAGCGTGCCACCCTGCAGAGGCTGCGGGAGACCAAGAACCGGCTGACTCAGCAAAGCAAGGCCCTGAAGGAGCTGGCAGAAGAGTTAGAGGAGAGGTGTCAGCGCCCAGCCCTGGGTCTACTGGAGGTGAGGATAGTGCTGGAGGTGCAGGCAGATGTGAGATGGGTGCAGAGTCAGACGGTGGCTTCCAGAGTCAAACACATAGACATTTATGTTCTTTAGGAAGAGGAGAGTACCTAGAATTTACTTAGATAAATCCTAAATCCTAGCATCAGAATAAGAAGGGATTCTAGAGAATCACATAATTTGAGCCAGGCGTGACAGGATACACCTGTTGTCCCAGTTACTTAGGAGGCTGAGGCTGGAGGATTGCTTGAGCCCAGGAATTTGAGACTAGCCTGGGCATCATAGCAAGACATTGTACAAGAAAAAAAAATTATACAGTTCATATTCAAGACAAAAATAATTATTAAAGCTAATTTAATGATTTATGAGAGCTTAAGCAGCTAGGACAAGGACAAGTTACACTATGCTGGCTGACAAATGCTTCTTAAAATCTCACCATCTGTCAGTAATGATATTGCTGTTTTCAGTGTTGGCCAGTCCAACATGTCTCGAGTAACCCATTTCAGTGTAAACAGCTAAAACTGTGAATATTTTTTTTAATTGTCCAGCATGGCATTTTTATGATGAGCTGTAAGGCCGACACTGAAGCCCATACCGCATGTTACTTCCAGGCACAGGGAGGAGAGAGTTAGTGGCTTCCCATGCAGCCTGACCCCCCTCTATTTGGAATCGACAAATGACAGGTGAAAGGAAACATTTGTTTATAAACTTCCATGAAGGCAGTACATCCCCAGTGACAGAAAAGCTATAATTGATGGGTGCTTGTTACCTTGATAGAACCAACTGCAACAGGGATTCATCTAGTACACTTCTTCTTGTCTAGGCCCCAGTAACTCATGCAGGGAATTCTAAACCAAGCAGTTGATGTGAATAACCCACCCACAGGTTCTAAACACTGAAGATGCTATGAATGTAAATACTCACATTAACTATTTGTATATCATTTACAAGTGCAATGACTAAACAGTGCTGATTATGTGGTGGGGATCATTAACAATGAATTTATGAAGCATTTTAATTGAGTTTCTCGCTTTTTATCTTTAGAATTGATCTCTATATAAGTAAAATGTATGTTTTGTTTTATTGTTAGCATCATTATTATTATTCATATACAAACTAATGGTCAGAAGGGAAATAATTTTCTGTGTAACAGACAGCAAATAAACACAGGAACTTTGACTTTTTCAATAACAATATTTATTGCCCTGCCTCACCATATCTCACATAACAGTTTAATTAAATTTAATATTTCCTAGCACCAAATAAATGTTAAAAATAATTTATATATACAAAGGGAACCCTTCAAAATCAAAATTTATTTATAAAAAATTGTAAAATTGTAGATTTATTCTTACGTGTTTAAACTTCAGTCATCTTCAATGTACTCTCTGTTTGATACAATACACCCATCAAGATCCTTTTTCCACTGCTCAGAATAATTTTTGAACTCCTCGATTTGGATGCCTTTTAGTACTCCTGCCATTTTTTGTTCGACCTCTTCCACATCTGCAAAACGTTTCCTTTTGAATACTTTTTTCATTCGGGGAAACAAAAAAAAAGTTGCTCAGGGTAAGATTGGGTGAATAGGGAGGGTAGGGACCGGGGATCATCCTGTTTCAATCAAAAACTGCAGAACACTCGGTGTAAATCACTTGTAAAACACCCTTTATGAAATAAGTAAACACGTTGAAAGGACCTCCAAAAAAATTCACTGCCAAATACAGCCTCTCACTAGCTGGTACACTGATACTGATGGATTCCTAGAAAACTTACCTAGTGGGAGAAGCCTGTACTGCAAAAGGCCTGACCTCAAAAAAAAAAAAATTCAATTTTGGGGGGTCCTCCTCATGCATATTATGTAATAAAATAATTATACATAATGAAATAATTATCTATTATATATAATATACTAATTTAAAATACAAATCTTAGAAAGAATATATTCCTAAATAATTTATACATTTTTATGCTTTCCTTTCCTTGTTTTCCCCTGTGCCAGTAAACTACATTCTACCTCCAAAGAGCATGGCCAACTCCTGTCCTTCCCATATAAGGTCAGGCAAAGTATTTCCCTGCTTTTATGCTTTGTCACGATTTATCCAATTGGTGACTATTTTTACAGGAAGAGGAAAATGAATCCCAGCTATTTATTTATTAACATAATAAATGTACTACAAGTACATTTATTAACATATATTTATTAACATAATAAATGTACTACAAGTACATTTATTTAATAATCGACTCTGAGATAAAATGCTGCTAGATATTAATGACTTTATTTTTTATCTACTTAGGTAGCTTACTCATATGGGTAATTCTGGAGTGTTGTTTCAAAAATTAGGAGTTTGAAATTCTCTTATAAGGACATTGAAGGAAACATTTTGTGTCTATACCTACCACTGTTCCTCATATAAATTCAGGAAATATTTAGGATCCATCTACCTTAATTTCATCTGTAGTAGGTGCAAAACATAACTCTACCTAAGTGCAAAACTTGTCAGTTCAGAAAATAATTAAATTGATAGATATTATAGAAATTAACCAAAACTTTGTGTAGTCGATTCTAATCTAATATTTCTAATTTTGCTATTTCATTTTCATGGGAAAATTAAATGACAACCTATTTTTGGCTTTACTGAAAAGAGATTTATTTCCCCCTATAGTTTTATTTTAATCATTAAAGATTTCCAGTAATCCCTAAAGAGATTTTCATGGTGTGACCTGAGTCTGACTGTGAAAGCAATTCATGGGGCCAAATCACACCTGTCTGTTTCTCTTTCACTTTCAGGGTGTGAGAGGAGCCTTGAGCAGGTATGTTTACTGTCTGTATCCCTGCAGGGATTAGGAGAGGCAGAGAAGGTGGTGATAACCCTGCTGACACCCTTCGGTTGTGTCTTCTTCTCAGAAGCAAGGCTGTCACTCGGCTAGAAGCAGAGCTCATCCCCTTGGAGCTGAAGACAGTGTGCCGCATCCCTGGGAGGAGAGAGATGATGAGGAGGTTCCAAGGTAGGCTGCATTCTAAAACTGGGGACTCTGATGCCCAAGATTGGCTGTTCCTGCCATTTGTTACTATGCAGGTCAGACTGTAGTGACAGACAAGAGCTTACATCTCAGTGGTCAAGATCAACAGAGGTTTACCTTGAAAACATGCTCTTGGCTTAGTACTTCTGTGTAGCATCTTCTCTAGGTGACAGCACTATTTCCTTCCTTGTACCAGATGGCATGGGAAAGGGTGAGGTTGTAACCTGTGCTTCTTACCAATTGGCTGTAAATTGGGGCTCCCATAATCGCTCCGTGGGCCCAATTAATTTGTGAAAGCAGCTCACAGAGCTCAAGGATACACTTACATTTGTTACTCATTATAAAGATCAATCCAGAGGATACTGATGAGCAGCCACTTGGGAGAGATGTATAGGATGAGAGATGGGAGGATAGAGTGAGGCTTCCATGTCCTCTCTGGGCACTGGCCTCCCGGAACTTCTATGTTCTCAGCTGTCTGGACAACCTCAAAACTCACTCCTTTTGGATTTTTATGGAAACATTGAATAGGCATGATTGATTAAATCCTTGGCCATTTGGTTTATCAACTCAGTCTTCAGCCCCTCTCATCTCCAAAAGTGGGGAACGTGGTGTATAGAACTGAACCTTACAATCCTCTAGTCACATGGTTAATCCCCCCCCAACCCCACGGATGCCAAGGGCCTGCAATGGGAGGATGGCAGATACATTCTGAGAGAGCATGAGAATGCTAATGTAAGCACTCTGTAGCAGAGTGAGCGACCAGATGGTTGAAGAACGTCTGGATAGTCAGACCACTGTGAACGTGCTACTTCACTTCCCAGTGAGATAAGCCATGATTGAACAGCTGTAACTAAAAAATTAGCATGATTAGACTGCTATTTCATTAGGTTCACTCTATATGCTTTATTACTATATGCTTTAAATAGACGGGAAACGATTGAAGTGGGAAAAGCAGTTAGGGGCCTTTGCAATAACTCGGTGAGAGATGACTGTGGATTGCAACAGTACTGGAGATGCTGAGAAATGGATGGATCCTTGGTATATTTTGAAGGCAGAGCTGGTAAGATATGCTTTAGGGATAGATATGACCTGTAATGGGAATAGAAAAGCCATGAATGACTTCAAGATCTTGGATCTCAAGAACTAACAAGATGAGATTGCATTGACATTCATGGGGACAGTTGTAGTTGAAGCAGGAAAAGGGAGCTTCAGTATGAGTCATGTGGATGTTGTATCTAAATGTTGATGTCACATTGTCAGATGAATTCACAAATATAAGGTTTCAGGAAGAAGATCAAGGCTAGATACACACATTTGGAATCAGTTAGCACACGAATGGAATTTGTTAAAGCAATGAGTGGGCCACCAAGTACATATGGTGAGTGAGCTGAGAGAGAGAAAAGAGATTTGAATCTTGAGACCATAGGTACCTCCAGGGTGATGAGGGCGGAGGAGAAGAAAGACAGCAAAAGGTACCAAGAAGGAGCCGCAAATGGAAAGGGAAGGAAAGTAGGTGACTGGAGTCTCTGAAAAGGGAAGTCTTCCAGGACAGGTGGATTCTCAACAGTGTCGAGTGCTACCAAAAAATCATTTAAGATGAACTCTGACAACTAACCATTTATCAACGTAGGGTTGTTGGGAAGGTAAACATGGACAGTTTGATTGAGGCATGATCATAATACAATGAGAAATTGAGTTTAAGAGAAGGGTAGGGAGAGGAACAAGAGATAGACAGTATCAAAGACCATGTTACAAATTGCTTTTGTTATAAACAAAGCAGAGATGTGCTGGTGGAAGAATGAAAAGTAAAGACGGAACACATACTGAATACACAATTCCATGGAGTCCTGCCTTTCAACCCCTCTTATTTACTGTCTCTAGAGTTCAAGGAAATCGCATCAGCTCTTTGACTCTGAAGCTCCTCATGAATAATGAAGGGATGATAACAGGGATCTTCAAGGTAGCTATGTGAGTTAATATAGATAATATGCAAGCAGTGTGGTCACATGGCCACTCAGGTTTGGGAACAAATAAAAGCTCACTAGAAGTGATTTAAAGACAAGTAAGAACAGTGGTGGCAACAGTAGTAGAAGTAACATTTATTATGATCTGTATTTAAAACAAAACAAAATTGTATTAATGAATTTACTACTTTTGAATGCTTATGAGGAAACACCTGGGTATTTTATATCTTATCTTTTTACTTCCCTTCTTTTAAAACCTTTCCAGATGTATTTGTTTATTGTATACAAGGGGGAACTTCCCCAAAACAAAATCATCTGTTGGAGGTTAGTCCCCTCGTAGTACAGGCTTGCCCCCGCTAGGTAAATATCCTGGGGCCCCATTGGCATCAGTATTCCAGCTAGCATTGTTGAGAGAGGTTGTGTATGGCTTCAGTGAATTTTTTTTTTTTTTTTTAGATTCTTTCAACACTTTTTGCCCATTTCATAATGGGTGATCTATACAAACAACCTGCCCACACCATGCGGAGTGTTCATCAGTTTTTGACACAAAATGGCATGAACCCCAGGAACCACCCTCCCTATTCACCAGATCTCTCCCTGAAAGAATTTTGTTTATTTGTTTCCCCAGATGAAAAAATGTCCTCAAAGGGAAACATTTTGCCAATAGAGAAGAGGTAAAACAAAAAACAGCAGAAGTATTAAAAGGCATCAAAATTGATGAGCCAGCTCTTCTGTTTGGGGTTCACAAGGCCAAAATCATGGTGTCTGTCAGACTGTGCTTCTCTGAAGGGTTTGGGGAAGAATCCCCTTCCATCTTTATTCAGGTTGGTGGCATAATGCAGTTCTGTGCAAGCGTAGGACTGATGCCCTTGTTTCCTTTGCTGACTTTCTTATGGGCCACTCACAGTTCCAGAGATCACTCATCTTTCTCCTCAAGTGACCTTTCCATTTGCAAAGACGGCAACAACAGATCAAATACAAATCTTAGCAACTTTTTCTTCTACCACCCTGACCCTAACCTTTCTGATTTTAAAGAACTCATGCAACTAGACCCACCCAGATAATCTCTTTCTTGTCATATAATGTAACATAATCACTAGGTTAACACTGCTGTGTGACAGTCATGGGATCCATTTTTAAATTCTGCCTCCCACAGTAGCATAATTTTGAAAGTAGCAGATTTCTTATTAACACAGTTTTTCTACCAGTTTTAAGAAAAAAATCCCTAATAGGTTTATAAATTTTATGTTAATTGCAGATGATCATTCTATGGGCACCCAAATGTTTTGGAAATAAGCCAGGTATGGTTGGTGCACAGCTGTAGTTGCAGTAGTGGGGAGGCTGTGACAGGAGAATGACTTGAGTTCAGGTATTCCAGACTAATGTACTTTGATCATGCCTGTGAACAGTCACTGCATTCCCAGCCTGGGCAACATAGCAAGGCCCTATGCCTTAAAAAAAATGTTTTGGCTGTAGATGAATCGAAATGATTATGCATTTGTTTGTCATTATCAATGGTTATGTTTTTATTGAGTTCTGAATTATACAAAGGAAACAATGGACTGCACCAGAAAGTAATGAAGATATGTTCAATGGCCAGCAAAGTGAAATACTTGTTTGTATAACTCCCTAGGAATTACTAGAGAAAGAAGAATGAGAAGTTGCGTGACCGTTCTTCTCAGTAGCTTCCTAAGTTCTCACCAGACCATTCCATCTTTTCACATGTTCCACAACATTCTTTCCACAGTTGACATCAATCTGGATCCTGCCACGGCGCATCCTAGCCTCCTTCTAACTGCTGACCTGCGCTGTGTGCAAGATGGAGAACTGTGGAGGGATGTCCCCGGCAACCCAGAGAGGTTTGACACATGGCCCTGTGTCCTGGGTTTGCAGAGCTTCTCATCGGGGAGACATTACTGGGAGGTTGTGGTGGGAGAAAAAGCAGAGTGGGGCCTAGGAGTCTGTCAGGACGCACTGCCGAGAAAGGGGGAGACCACGCCATCTCCTGAGAACGGGGTCTGGGCCATGTGGCTCCTGAAAGGGAATGAGTATATGGTCCTGGCCTCCCCGTCGGTGCCGCTCCTCCTCCTGGAACGGCCACGCCGCGTTGGGATTTTCTTGGACTATGAAGCCGGTGAAGTCTCGTTTTATGACGTCACAAACAGGTCTTACATCTACACGTTCAACCAACTGTTCTCCGGTGCTCTCCGACCTTACTTTTTCGTCTGTGACACAACTCCTCTTATCTTGCCACCTATGACGGAAGCAGAGTCAGGACATCGGGCAACTAGCGGTCATCTTGACCCTGCTTCTAATGTTAAAGAAGATCACGCTTAAAAGTCTGTTTCCAAGATACAGTCCTGGCCCAACAAAGGTTCCTGGAGTGAAGCAAAGGACATAAATGTGCCAAGTATCATCAAATGCCCCCATTTAGGTCAGCACTTTATTCCTTGCTGCTGTGGAAATTTTCTCATGGTTCAAAAAGAGAGACTATGAAGTATTTGCATGTGGAGGAAGGTTATGGAGTACAATAACTGTAGAAATGGAGCAATCTTGCCAAAATCTACTTCCAGATGACTCCACAAACTTACTTTCTTGATGGGTCTTCCTTCTAATTAATGGCCTTGTGTCAGGCAAAGAATTCTAAGCATGCATTATCATTTCTCATTCTTTCCTATGTCCTTTTATTCCTGTTCTCACACACATTAAGTATTAGAAATGACAGTTCTTAAATGGAGTATTCCAGCATCAGATCTATAATTCTGTTTCTCTTTTCCGAAGTTTCCTTTTCTTCTCATTCTCCTTCTTCTCTCTGTCTCTTTGTCATTCTCTGTCTCTGTTTCTTTTTTTATGTACCTTACTTTTTAAAAAAATTTACATATTATTGTTTAACCTATCATTTCCTTTTATATTCATATATTTAGAACCATCCCTTTATACATTCACATTTCCTATGACTTTATTCAATTACTTATAAAATCCTCTTTATTCTAAGACTGACTTTTTAAGAATTATGAAATTTGTTCCTCTGAACTTAATATCACTGATTCTTAGATTTTCCCCCTTGAGATACAGTTTTTAAAAGTAAAACTTTCTAAAAATTTTGATTTAACTAGTATTTTGAGCTAGAAATTTACTAGTTGTAATAACTCAAACAAATAACACCTCTCTCTCTTGCTCAGTCTCAGCTACTTGTTTTGGACCCTATATAAGGAACAATAATACTGGTCTCACAGTGTTATGGTAAATGTTTAAAGTCATAATAGATATTGTTCATTTAAATTCAACTCTCATATTTTAATACAGTATACATATGATGATGATGATGTGAAATGATACCATTTAACTTATTTTTAAAGTATATTCTATATGTTTCCAACAAAATTCCTAAAAGTTATTGAAGTCTAACTTGCTGCAATCTTTCTCTTTTTTATGTTTAATAAATAATTGCTAAACAAATGCTAAAATGCTTAACTGGTAAATCCTTCAGTACTAACCAAATATGAACTAATGGCAAATTATTTAACATTATCCTGGTAATAATCTGCCAAAGGTTTATTCCTCCTCTTTAACCAAGTTCAAGCTATTTTCTCTTCCTGGGAGATTTTTTTGACTGATAGATTTCACTTACTCTTCAAACATATTATTAACATATCTTGCTTTCTAGATTTTAAAAAATTGATCACAAGCAAACACTCACCTCTCAGTCTCTGGTTTGAAAAAAGAGGGAGTAACACATTCTTATACCCTCTTCTTGATAATACACAGACCATGCATGCCCTAGGCCTCTCTGGTGCTTGATAGGAAGATGGTCTTCTGCTCAGCAAAAGGACAGACCAGGAGGGATTGAGTCTTTGTTTCGACATCACACATTATATGAGTTCTCTACTCATTACCTGGGACAAGGAAGCCTGGGTGAGAAAGAGGCTACCTACTTTCTTCATAGGATTAAAAGGTTGTCCCAGGAATATCCCCTCCCTACCATGTAACCTGACATGCTGGTGTCGACTGTCTCAAATTTTGTTACCACTCTGTGCATTTTATTGTGGTTTTTGCCAGTCACTAAATATGAAGTCTTTCTTCACGTCATACATTCTTAGCTTTACAAAGCTTTGTGCATCTCTGTTATGACCCCTTCTTCCTTTCCAGTTCTTTAGAAACCCTTCAGAGGTTTCCACTATTCCTTTTGGAATTCTGGTTTGTTACCAGCAAAATCCTCTAAATCCAAACCTACTTCGTAACCATCCCCATCCTTTCTCCTGAACACTGTCTAGTCTTTTATAGTGAACTGTCCACTTAATATCAAAATTCAGACATTTTTAACTCTATACCTGAAACTTAACCTTACATTTTTCCCCAAGTCCCCCATTTCCCCCATCAACAACAATCACAGACTTCTCCACCTCAGTGGACAGCAGCTCCATTCCTGTAATTGCTTGGGCCACACAACTGATGGACTATTTTCTTGCTATCACCAGCCCACATCCAGTGTGTCAGCAAGCCCTGCTGGCTCTCCTTTCAGAATGCATCCAGGGTCAAGCCAGCCATAATCATTCCGTGGAAATAGTCATCCTTCCTTCAGGATCACTACATTTGCTTCCTGACCATAATCCTGGTCAGGCTTCAGTCCCTGCCACTTCCCTTCTCTTCGAAGCAACGGGGTGATCCTTTCAGCACCCAAGACACTGGTGCCATTGCAATGACCTTTCATTCAACCTAGCATGAAAGCCAGAATCTTCACTATGAACCCCAGACTCTAGAGGATATGAACCTTGACCCCTTCTCTGATTCTTCCTTCTCCACATCCTTTTGCATTCTGCTTCAGCTCCCGAGGCCTTGTGGTTGGGTTTACACCAACTCAGGCACTTCCCATCCTACACCAAATCTCCCTGTTGTGGCTTCTGCTTGAAATGCCCTTTTCTCTGATGTCTCTTTTACTTGTTCCTTTTCCTCCTTTATGTCTGTCAAAATCTAGCTTGTCAGTGAGGTCTATACAACCCTACCCACCCCAGAGCTCACCTTCCTAGTATCCCTCACTGAACTCAGTGGAGGCTCTTTTGTTTCCCCTTATAGTATGTATCAACTTTTAATGTATTATGCTGTTCTCTTATTTATTAGGTTTATTTTTATTTATTTATTTGCCTTTTTGTGGTAGAATGTAAACACCATGATGGGAGGGATCTTTGTTTGTCGACAGTGATACATTAATTGGCATATCCAAACACCCTAAACACTTGTTTGTATGTGGATATCAATCAGTGCATATTTGTTGAATGAATAAATAATTGACTATATGGAGAACAAAATTAAATGATGGACCTGAAAATGATTTATGAATTGTAGTATACTCTAGTGATATATTAATAATAATTATTATTATTATTTATAATTAGATAGCTACTGGCCAATAAACTTTATTGTCAAGTTCTAAATGAGTAAAGTCAATTGGGAGTTAGAGAAGAATTGAATAGAAGGTTAAAGTTGTAGAGATGTTGGATCCTAGTGAAAACTAGACAACCTGGCATGCCCAGGCATAGTCCCATGGAACTCCCTGTGGCTTTTATTCCCTGTGGAATGACAATGATACCTTTCAATCCTGCATTGCCTCTGCTGACTCCAGAAGCCACCTCTCAATAGACAATACTCGCCAGAAATATGAAGGACTTTCTGTAAACTTACATGGTCTAAAACCTTTTTCTTAATGAAGAGGACTTTCCTGTCTCATGTGCTGCTCTTCCCCTGAGATATATGGTAGAGCCACTTCCTTTAAACCGGATGTTGCAAGTTTGCCCTCCTCCTTACCACTTCCCCACTATTGTCTCCCTATTATTGCCACCCTCTGTTACTATACACATGAATGGTTTTCCAGCTCAAAGCATTATCATTTTTTTCTGGAAATATTCTTAAACACCACTCAGACAATTGCCAAATTTGCTTCTTTTAAGAATAATTTAAAAGTCTCCCCTAATTCCAGTTAGATTCTAGTTTTTTTTTTAAGGCTATGTTTCTGTAGGACTATTTTCACATATCCAGAAGCCTGGATGATTTATCCAAATAACTAATTTGATCAGTTCTCCCCACAAGCCTCCATCCCTCAGATCAGGTGACTGGTTGATCTAAATAAACTGATTATTTTTTAGCATGTGGAATGAAGACAGCTGGGAAGGGCATATGTGGAGCTGGTCAGGAGCTGGAGGTGAAATAGCCTCATTAGCCAGTGACTGAACAAATTTAGACTGGTGATTTTGACTCAAAGGGCAGATGAACTGGTAGCACCGAGATTTGTTAAACCTGTTGTTCTCCCAGCACACACCCTTCATGCATGCTTCCTGTGTCCTTTGGGCCCTCAGTAGGTTTGCTCTTCTATCATACGGGAAGAAAGAATAGATGTGGTCTTACATGTGTAGAACATGTATGCTACAAATTGTACACATTCACGTATGTGGTATATTCTCTTTAATCTCTAATTCTGTGACTCTATCTACTCAAAGTACTCAAGCAATAATTTTGATAATCTTAGTCAATTGACCCAAACTAATTAGCCTGATTTTTCACTGACGTTGTCTGGTTGATTGCAGGGACCCAATTTCCATTCATTTATTTGCCTTATATTTTATTTTTAATTTTCATGCTGGTGATGTCATTTTTGCCTCTACAAGAGCATTAAAAATATGATTACTTACACAGTCTAATTAATCTAAGTAGTAGTACTTAGTTTCTTCCTAGATAGTTTTTGAAACTAGAGTATAAACCCATTATATGCTGATATCTTCCTTTCTTATTTTGTCTTAAAATGGTGGGGTACAATTCAGGGCTAGGTATACAAATATTCACTGTACAGGTAGCCTTGTTGATGAGGTATGGCCCCTCGATATCTTCCTTTCAAATCAAAAAATAAAAATATATAAAGCAAAATAGGTCATCCTGTTAACTCCTCAAGTTAATGGGGAAAAAAATCCTATTAATCAATGAACCTGTGAAATTTTCCCACTATCTGAGACAATGGGTTATTTATTTTTCAGACATAAAATTATCAGTGAGAAGATGTCAAAATACTTTTGATCTATCTTCAGATAAGTAAATATTAAGAGAAAACCCAAAATATATTATTCTGTCCTAAGTAAGATGGTTATGCTCAGCTGTGTTTTTCGCCACATAATAATTCTTGGGAACATGGGAGGAGAGCAAATGGCCCATTGGTATTTGAGTCTTTAGAACAACAATTAATTGATTCCCCCAGTTTTACTTACATGAGATAGCAAATTTATATCAAGGGACAAATTCTCATGGTCCTAATTTTCTGCCTGGACCCGGTGGGAGATTGGAGAATGTGATGT